GGCCCTGCCTCCGGCTCTGGCCCCGCCCCACCACAGATGTGGCTCCGCCCACGAACCAGGGCGTGTCCGAGAATGGCTCCTCCCCTGCCTGGCCCCGTCCCAATAAGACTTCTGACCCAGACCTAGTTTTGCTCACAAGCCTGGTCGCGCGGCAGATGGCTTCGCCCCCTGCCTGTCCTGTCCCAGTCAGGCTCAGGTCTCAGGTCTGGCTCCGCCCTTAGATATGGCTCCGCCCTAAGATTGGTCACGCCCCTATTGCAATTGCAATTGGCTAGTGGTGATGCCAGTCAGCCTCCAGGTTCCACCCCCAATTGGTTCCGCCTCTCCTGCAGCACCTCACGCATGCGCCACGGCCTGGCGCCAGTTCCAGAGCTTCAGCTCACGGAATCAGCCCCCACGTAGTATCCCAGCCAATGAGCAGCGCCTGTCCTCGTCTCCAGGGCGCTGAGAGCCCGCCCTTCATACGGGGCTCCTCTGGAGCTCCGCCGCCACGCCTCCATCCGGGCTCCGTCCCTTTAAGGGAAGTAAATCCGGCCCGCGGGCGCGGCCAGGGCGGGGCGCTCGGCGTGTCCCTCCGCGGGTGTGTCCCTCTGCCCGTGCGGCCCGACACAGCGAGGCGGGAGTGGGCTCCAGACCGCGGTGGTCCTAAGGCGGCCAGGTGGGTCCTCGGAGGGCGCAGGCGGGCGGCGGGACCCCATCCCTCAGAATGACAACGTCCAGTGACAAGCCCTGACTCAGAGGGCCCAGAGTGGGGACCTGCCTGTCAAAAGGAGGATCACTAGGTTGCCTGGACGCTCCCATCAGGAGGGGGAAAGTGAGCGTCATGGGTCTCAACCCCATTTTTAATATTTGAAGCCTCAGGTAGCACGGGCTGGCCTTCAGATGATTGATCGTGTCCTTCACACCTCCCGCCAGACTCATTTCTTTAAACCGATCACGTTTCTGACTAAAAATTCATTGAAGGCCTGAGGCTCTCTTGCTCAGGGGTGAAGTGTTTGCCTTGTGTCTATAAAGCCCTGGGTACCATCCCCACTACCATCGCCCAACCCCCGCCCCGCCCCGCCCCTGAAAAAAAAGCTATTGAAAAGGGTGGACAAGCAAGTTCCAGGACAGTCAGAGCTGCTACACAGAAAAACCTTGTCTCAAAAAAAAAAAAAAAGAAAGAAAGAAAAAGAAAAGAAAGAAAAAAGAAAAGCAAAAGAAAAAGAAAAAAAAAGAATGGACAGGGACAAGGGAGTTTTGAAAACAGATCACAGGAAGTTAACTTCGGTGGCAGTTTCCTCTTTTCTTTCTTTCTTTCTTTTTTTTTTTTTTTTTTTTTTTGAGATAGGGTCTCACTATTCAGCCCATGCTGTTCTGGAACTCGGAGATCTGCCTGCCCCTGTCTCCTGAATACTGGGAGTAAAGGTGTGCTCCAACGCCTTTTCCTTCTTTCTCAATCCCCACCCCCGTCCTTCCGTAGGCCTACAGTCAAAGTAAAGGGTTGGTGTAGTATGAGGTGTGGCAAAGTCCTTTTTACGTCTTCCAGAGCTCACCTGGATCCTTGTCAATTTTGGTTTCTGATTTGCTACCATTATGCAAAGTCAGGGGACTCGGGTGAACAGAGGATGGAGACCCTGGGACACTGTGTTCCTCACCCAGTCTCAGGTTCCTTCCATACTATCTCCATCTTTCCTGGAGATCATAAACTCTTAGAGGCTGCTGGTAGCCCTGTTCCTAGGCATCCATGAGGGATGAAACCCCCAGATGCAACCCAGGGACAGGAAGAACTCCCCTCTCAGGTCTGAGAACTTTTGGAAGCCAGGTTTTAACCCCACTTGTCCTATCTGGGGCACACTTTATTAGAACTCATATGGAGTGGTGGTAAGGCCTGAGAGTTCTACCCCTGGGCTCCTTGACAGCTGCTCTTTCTCCATCTTGATCCACAGCAATTTCATTTAAGTTCAAGGACAGCCTGGGTAACTTAGTGAACCTCATTTCAAAAAGCAAAAGGAGCCAGGGCAGGGATGCACACTTTAATCTTGGCATTCTGGAGGCAGAGATGGGGATTTCTGAGTTGGAGGCTAGCCTGGTCTACAACAGCCAGGGCTACACAGAGAAACCCTGTCTCAAAAAACTGGGGTGTGGTCAGGAGGAGCCCCACCTAGAATCCCCAGTGAGGGGCTGGGGGCGTGGTCAGGGTGGAGCCCCACCTAGAATCCCCAGTGAGGAGATTGGGGGCGTGGACAGCAGCAAAATATTAGTTTAGAGTATGCAAGGGCCTGGGTTCATCTCCAGTACTGGGGGGAAAAGATAAGCATGGCCCCAAAGTAGATAGATGTTAGGATGGTGTGAAACTGAAACCATTTTGATTTTCCTTTGCCTGGGACCAGTGAAGTAGAATAGGCAGAGACCCCAGTCAGATGTCACTGACACTAGTTTGACAACACCGCAGGGTACCACGTGACTGTCCTAGTGTCATGAGCTTTGGGCTCTGTGGGTGACACACGCCTTTTGACCTAGGAGATACACTTGTGCATACAGTGTGTGTGTGAGCGCATGTGTTCAGCACCTGCCTTCAGGCACTCCTGGAAGTCAGAGAGGTCCGGTCTGCTGGAACTTGGGTCACAGGCAGGTTGAGCCACCATGTGAGTGCCGGGAACTGAACCCCAGCCCTCTGCAAGCGCAGTAAGTGCTTGTTAGCTCAGAGCCTTCTCTGCTGCTTTTTTATTTTTTTAATTTTTATTTATATTGAAACAGAATCTTGCTGTGTACGCACCCAGCTGGTTTGTCCTTCCCTCAGTATCAAACTCAGCAATTCTCCTGCCTCAGTCTCCCAAGAACTAGAACTGAAGATTTATATATATCCCGTTTATAATGGATTTATTGGGCAGAATCACATTGTAAATCAGAACATCTGAATAGTATTCTACATTTCATCTCATAGAGTTCTAGAGGTTTCCATGACATTTATTCTGTCAGCGAATATGTGATGAATATCTTCTTTGGGGAATGGGTTGAGACAGAGTCTCCCTGTGTAGCCCAGGCTGGCCTTGAATTCAGAAATTGGCCTGCCTCTGCCTTCCAAGTGCTGGGATTAAAGGTGCGCACCACCAAAACCTGGCATGTAATTACTATTTTTAAAGAAACTGTCATGTCCTGCTGTGTCGTTTGGCTTGGACCAGAACTCTCAGCCCAGGCGATCCTCATGCCTCAACCTCCTGTGTAGCTAGGAACAAAAGCTGCACACTAGACCCCAGGCATGATAAAGTTCTCTGTAATTAGAGCAGTCCCTCGCTAAATTACTATGACTGCCATGAGCTCACTCTGTGGACCAGGCAGACCCTAACTCCCAATCCTCCTGCCTCAGCTTCTTGAGTGCTGCCATCACAGTAGAGTTTTAGGTTCATGCACAGCTGACTGTGAGGTGGGTTTGGTTCCACAGTGACCTCTTTATGACCCAAGTTGACATCTCTCCTTAGGGCTCAATCTGGGGGTCAGCTGTTGCTTTCTGTGTTGCCTCACTGGGGGAAGGAGCCTGGTGTGCTGCCAGCCCTGCCCCAGGCTCCCAGCACTGAGGTCTGTGGCACTAGAAGTTTAATCACGGCTCTCTGCTCTAGTACAGCAATGGCAAGGGATCTTCTGTATGCACCTTAAAGAAATTTGCATCTGTCTATCTGTCTGTCTGTCTGTCTGTCATCATCTATCTATCATCTATCAATCATTATCCATCTATCATCTATCTTATCTATCTATCTATCTATCTATCTATCTAGTGAGGGAGGAGTCTGGTCTCTTCTTCTACCATGTGGGTTCCTGTGGAACTCAGTTTCTCAGACTGTGGCCAGTGCCTCCATCCACAGAGCCAGCTCACTGGCCCCTGCTTTATTTTTTCTCTCCAGCTCCATGTTGAAACCCAAGTCACCCTGTTATTCTTCTCTCAGGAAGCTCACAAAATGCCACTTCAAAACTCAGGCATGGTGGGGCAAGCCTGGCAGCATAGGTAAAGGCAGGAAGGTCAGGTTCAAGGCCAGCCTGGGCTGCATGAGACCTGATGCCAGTTCAGATCCTCAACTTGTAGCCTCGTGATTTTCACTAGGTGGGATGGCCCAACTCACATGTAGCTTTCATACATGACCTTCATACTCTGAAAGTTTCTGGGGGGCATCTCTATAGCCAGTGTCCCATGCTGTGGAAATCCCCTCCACTTGGAAATTGGGGTTTCACTGAGAGAAGTTTCCGGGAATCCCCAGCAGTTGGAAATAGATGTGGCTTTCCGAGAATGCCTGACTTCAAATGTCTTAACCAAAAAGGGCAAAGCCTGTTCAGGCAGGAGGAGTCCATGCGCCTTTGGCTACACAGTGAGTTTGAGTCCAGCTTGAGCTACATGATACCTTGTCTTTTAAAAAAGGGGATAAGAAAAAGAAAGAAAAAAAAGAATTATTTGGAGACAGAAGGGATGGCCCGGCAGTTAGGAGGGCATGTGCTCTGTGGTTCCATCACGATGAGGTTTGGAAATAGTGTCATAGTGAGCAGAATGTAAACCCAAGGTGGTGTGCAGAGGCCTTATGTCTGTTTCATTTGTCTTTCCTGGGGTACTGGGTTTGAGCCCTGAGTCTCAGGCTCCTAGCTCTGAAGTGACCTTCTGTGTGGAGGTGGCCCTGAGACACTGCTTTGTCCTCAGAGTCTGGGCCACACACTGAACAAGCACATGGGACCGCCTCAGGCCCTGTCCCCAAGGCAGTGGCAGGATGTGGAAACCTCCGGAAGGAAGTGGGTGACCCTGGGCTCTGGAGCCCTGCACCCTGGCCTGGGAGGGGTCAGAGCCTTGTTGCCTAGAACACTGTTTTCTTGTTTTCAGAAAGGGAGGAATAGGAGCCTGTGGGTGCTGGGGTAGGAGAGCAGCTTTATCTACCTCATGTCCTTATAGAAGGTTCTGTGTGTCTGTCATGTCTTCTTCATCAGTGGGACAGCCTAGAGAAGAGGACCCTGGGGTGCTGGCATCCAGTTCTGAGCAGGTGTTGGAAGTCCACTAAGAGGACCAGAGAGGAGACGCCCAGACGGTACCTGGGGCTGTATGGGGAGGAGCGTGACGGGCTGTGGCCAGCCTAGGTCTCTGTGCTGGAGGAAGTGTGTTTCCAACAGAAAGCAGTTCATCTTGACAGGGACTCTATCCGTCCCCAGATTTTCTAGAAAGTATTTGCTCCTCCCTTGAAAAAAAAGAGATTCTTCTTTTTAAGAGGACATAGAGCCAACAGTGTGGTGCACGCCTTTAATCCCAGCACTTGGGAGGCAGAGATAGGCAGATCTCTGAGTTTGAGGCCAGCCTGGTCTACAGAGCGAGCTCCAGGACAGGCTTGTGGGCTCGGTAGCTACAGAGAAACCCTGTCTCAAAAGGACATAGACATACATGTGGTGGGGCTACAAAGACCTTCCCCAGTGTCTAGAACAATCCTGTGGGAGTGCAGTAGACACTCGGAAAGTGGATCCTGTGGGGGTGCAGTAGACACTCGGAAAGTGGATCCTGTGGGGGTGCAGTAGACACTCGGGAAGGGTAGGAAAGGTCACAGTGAATTGGTTTGGTGGTGTGAACTGAGCAGGAGGATGGAGAGTTCAGGGTCAGCCCAGGCAACCTAACGAACATTCTGAGAATAAAACCTAAGAACCAGGCAAATGAGAGAAGCTTTCAGAATCTGTTAGTCTAGACCCCAGAGGACCCTTCATGCCTCCCCGTGGTGGCCCCAGCTCCTGCTTCCCCCAACTTAGTAGCAGTATTAAAGGGAATCCCCAGAATTGTCCCCAGGGAAACCCTGTGGCAGACAGAGACAGCCACCAGCAGGTGATGACCCAGCTCCCCACAGGCAACCAGAGGCGATGCATGACCCCTGAGCCTAGCCCCAGCTGCAGCCATGTACCTACCGACTCTGGTAAACTGAGGCTTGTACAGGTAGCATGTGTGGTGCATTTGGATGGCAGACGACAGTTGTGGGCAGGCAGGCTGCGGGAAGTGCTGGGTGGGTAAGGGTGGCAGTGAAGGGGTGTGGACACCCCTGCCTTCTTGACTGTCGGAGTGGGCCCTGTGCTGCCAGGGAAGGCGAGGAGCACCACCAAGGCTGTGCACTGGGGGGTGGAGGGGATTTGATTGGGCACTCAGGGCCAACCTGGGCTAAGCAAGGCCCTGTCAGCAGAAATATACCAAAGAACTGGTGACTGCTTCTCTTAATTCCGTGCCCCTCCCCGATCCCAGGGTCCTGAGCTAGGAAGGCAGAGACCCAGCCCTGGAGCCTGCATGTCAGTAGATTCCTGAAGTGTGTGCGCGGCTTCTGACACCTCCGCCGCACATCCCACTGTCACTGTCCTGCCACAGTTCCCCGTAGGCTGTGCAGGCCTGAACAAGCCAGCTTCCCTCCTGGAGAGTCTGTGGGGCAGGGAATTGCTGCCTCCAGGGGACCCTGGGTCAGGTGGGAGAGGCAGCACCCTGTGTGCGGTGGGTGAGGCACCACACCCTGCATGTGACCACTGAGGCAGAAGAGCCTCAGGGGAGCTGTCTGGAATGAGGTGGCATTTCCTCAGAAGGCTGTGAAGTGCACAGTGCCTAGTCAGGTGAGGTGGGGTGGGGACACCAGGGACAGATGCCGCGAGGAAGTTTGGGCCCATCTGGTGTCCAGTGTCCTGCCTCCAGGGCACTGCAGACCTGAGTAGTATCCCTGGTGACTCCCACAGGCTCACCATTGGACCCCCTGTCAACCTCTGCTTTGTTTTATTTGTTGATTTTGATGTGGTCTCACTATGTAGACTCTACTATGTAGAGTAGGCTGACCCCAAACTCATTATGTTTCCTTGGCTGGCCTAAAACTTATTATGTAGACCAGGCTGGCTTTGAATTCACAGAACGCTGGGATCAAAGATGTGTGCCACCATGGGAAGCCCTTGTTTTATTTCTTATGTCAGGGTCACATTAGCCTGGCCTGAAACTAGCTGTGCTACATAGGGTTATTTCAAAGTCCTGATTCTCCTGCCTCCACCTCCTGTGTCCTGGGACGATGGGCATGAACCACCACCCTTGGTTCTAACCTCTTATGTCTGCCTTTCTCCATAGCTGTGCTCTAAAGGCAGGTGCTGAGTGCGGGCATTGGCATACCATGATAGTTCTGGGGAACTAACCTCGGTTTCTTCATTTCTGGGGTCCAGAGCAGTTTTGTTGGCGTCCTAATTTGTGTGCCCTGTGTCTCATTCACAGGTTTAAGACATAAAAAGCAGGGCTGGAGTGATGTCTCAGAGGTTAAGAACACTGACTGTCCTTCCAAAGGTCCTGAGTTTAATTCCCAGCAACCACATGGTGGCTCACAACCATCTGTAATGAGATCTGGTGTCCTCTTCTGGCGTGCAGACATATATGTAGACAGAATGCTGTATACATAATAAATAAATAAATCTTTTTAAAAAAAGACATAAAAGGCAGGGTTAAGTACAAGAGTACAAGCTAAGTTGTACAGCCACCCACTACCTCTAATTCCAGAACATTCCATCACCCTGTGAACTAGAACTATGCTGTCCCTTCCCGGCCCCCACAAGTTCAGTCCTGCCTCTAACTTGGCCTAATGAGGATATCTACTGTCGTCGAGTCCCTCACCATGGCCCTTTTTGTCTGCGTGTGCTTCGGGACTGTCCTCCTGTGCGTGTGTGGTTCAGTAGTGCCCCGGGCTCCATAGCTGCTGTCCGTCTGCATGTGGGTGTGACTGCAGGTCTGTGCACTCTCGCTGAGGAGGGGCCCTGTGGTCCAGCTCAGCAGGTAGAAGCCACATGAGAGAAAGAAAAAGCACTGAGGGTTGGTGAACCTGGCGTCCTAGCACTCAGGAAGTAGAGGCTCAAAGAGGCCAGCCTGGGCTACATGAGACCCTGTCTCCCAAAAAAACCACACAAGTTATTTACTGTGAGTCAGGTAGGGCTGCCTGTCTTGGGTGGGGCCAGCCCACACCACATGTCTCTCCCCCACCCACACAGCTTCCCCTTTTGTCTGCAACTGTTTCTCCAGTTCCCCAGCGTCTTTGTTTCATTTCATGACTGCACCCCAATTATCTCTCCGGTATTACCTGGCCCATCTCAGGGAGCAGAGTGCAGTAGGTCCTCTCTGGTGCAAGCTGAGAAAAAAACCTCCTGACTAGTGTGAAGTCCTAGGTCCGTCCCCAAACATGAAAGAAAAGATTAGGTCCTTGGCTGCCCAGCTAATGCTGCGTGACCGTATGTTGAGATGTTGAGGCTCTTTCTCACAGGTCACATCCTGGGACTCTGAGGACCAGATGTCTCCACACCACCTGTGTCTGTCACTGCCAGCGCTCCCCCATGCTTCCTGAAGAAGTCAGAGCAGTGCCTGACCTGGGTCAAGCCAGGAAGAGCACGGGTGCCTCTGAGGGCATCGTTTTGTGTCATGTGACCATTTGTCCACAAGGAACCTGCCCCTTTTGGTGAAACTGTTTCCTGCCGAAAGTCTGCAAGCCCAGCCTTTGTTTCTTAGAACAGACATTTCAGAATATAATTTATAATTGCTTACACAGTTCCTAAGTCCTTGCCCTGCAGCGCAGGCTGATCTGGAACGTGGGGAAATCCTCCTGCCTCAGCCTCCTGGGTATGTCTGGCCCCCTGACTGTTTTTGTGGAGAACAGTTACTCTGTGTGGTCCACACTGGAAGTTGTGATGCACCTGCCTTGGCCTCCTGGGGTGGCAAGCCCAGGCGGGTGCCTAGCCCTAATACCATCCTCTCCTGTTTCAGGCCTCTGGGTGACCACAGCATCCCTCCGTGGTCTCTGCTGCACCTTCTGAGACACAAGTGCCACCAAGATGTCTAACCCATTTCTGAAACAAGTGTTCAACAAGGACAAAACATTCCGGCCCAAGCGCAAGTTCGAGCCTGGAACACAGCGCTTTGAGCTCCACAAGCGCGCACAGGCGTCGCTGAATGCAGGACTGGACCTGCGGCTGGCGGTGCAGCTGCCACTAGGTGAGGACCTCAACGACTGGGTGGCTGTGCATGTGGTGGACTTCTTCAACCGTGTCAACCTCATCTATGGTACCATCAGTGATGGCTGCACTGAGCAGTCGTGCCCAGTTATGTCCGGGGGCCCCAAGTATGAGTACCGCTGGCAGGACGAGCAGCGCTTCCGGAAGCCCACGGCGCTCTCTGCACCCCGCTACATGGACCTGCTTATGGACTGGATTGAGGTTCAGATCAACAACGAGGACATCTTCCCCACCAACGTCGGTGAGTCCCAGCTGCACCCGTCTGCTCACACCCAGCAGGGGCCGGCCCAGCCATGCCAGGGCCCATGTCTGCTGTGAGCGCAGCCCTGAGCAGAAAGGCCAGACAGGCTCATCTGGCTTTGCGGTTTGCATGTGAATACTACTATTTCATGTGCATGTTTGTGTGTACCATACAACATGTTTGTGTGTACCATACAACATACAACATGCTGGGGCCCCTGGAGCTCAGCACAGGCTTTTGGCCACCTGGGCTGGAGTTCTAGGTGCTTCTGAGCTCCATGGGCTGCTGGGAACTGGTCCGGGCTCCTCTGCACATGCCTCTAACCACTGGGCCATCTCTCTAGGCCTGCGTTATTATTATTATTATTATTATATAATATTATTGGGTTTTGTTGTTGTTGTTGTTGTTTTGGTTTTTCGAGACAGGGTTTCTCTGTAGCTTTGGAGCCTGTCCTGGAACTAGCTCTTGTAGACCAGGCTGGCCTCAAACTCCCAGAGATCTGCCTGCCTCTGCCTCCCAAGTGCTGGGATTAAAGGTGTGCCCGGCTTGCATGATGATTATTTGTTTACTTTTGGTTTCTAGAGACAGGGTCTCTAGAGACTGTGTAGCCCTGGCTGTCCTAGAACTCACTCTGTAGTCCAGGCTAGCCTCGAACTCAGAGAGATCCTGCTGCCTCTGCCCTGAGTCATGCACCACAAGTGCAGTACCTTATGTTTTTTGTGGAGTATGTGTGCATGGTCATGCGTTTGTGGGCACATGCAGGTGTTTGGGTGCATGCGCACTGGGAGGCCAAAGGCCTCCTTGGGTGTCATCAGAGAAACAACCTACCTCCTTGGAAGCAGTATCTCTTGGTGGCCTGCCATTCGCCAGTTTGGCTAAAAGAGAGGGTTAGCTGCAAGGTAGCTTCTCAATAAGGCTTCAGGTTCATGTTACCACAGTCCCCGTTTTCATACACATTCTGGGGTGCCCACTCAGGCCTCAGTATTTTACCAACTGGACATCTCTCTAGGCCCTGTTTTCTTTGTTTAGACAAGAGCTTCTATAGCCTAAGTTGGTCTTGAACTCAGTACGTAGCTGAGGCTGGCCTTGAACTCAGTATGTAGCTGAGACTGGCCTTTGATTCTTACCTCAGATTTCCAAGTCCTGAGGTGACAGCTGTGCCATACCTGGCTTTTTATTCATGATTTATTGACCGTTATGGGTTTTAATTTATTTTTTCTTTATTTATTTTGAGATATGGTCTCACTGTGTAGCACTGGCTGGCTTCAAACTCCATAGGTCAGCCTGCCCTCCATCCATCTGGAGTGCATGGTTAATAAGAGGGCTGGGGCGTGGTGGCCTCAGAGGCTCCAGCCTCTCCCTTGCTGAGTGTGTCTCCCAGTGCTGTGACTTAAACCACTTGCCGGCCACAAGTGCAAGTGCTGACCTGTTGTTCCCGCAGGAGGCCGGAGGCTCAGGAGTTCAAGGATTGTCCTTGAATCTAGTGTATCCAGTTAGAGGCAACTCAGACTCCCAAGATAACGACAGCAGCAGAAAAATAATAAACCAAAACCCAATGAAAGTGCAGTGTCACTTCATGGCCCTGATTGGCCCTTGGGCCACCTATAGTCTGGGCGTGGCAGGAGCGCGTGGCCCATGCAGCCTTGATCCTTTGGCTCTAGGCCCCTTCCTCCCTCCTCAGCACTGGCAGCATCTCTCAATCCTCTGCCTCTCTCTGAGGACTCTGTGGTAACACGTGAGCCCCAGATATTCCAAGATGATCCCAACTGAAGGTCCTCACTGAAGGACCCTTCTGTTCCTGGAGGGACTTGCTCCAAACTTTGGGGACCAGGATATAGTCACCACGGAGCCTCATTACTGAGCCCAGGTCTGAAGGGCTGAGCGCTGCGGCACTGCCCGTCTTCACTCTAGAACCCCAGCCTGCCTGCCTGCTCTACAGCACTGGCGGGGACACCGCTGGCTTGGCTCATCCTGGGACACTCATGGTCATGCATTCATGTGCTGTGTGATCCGTGTCCACAGTGAGGCTGTGGCAAGCTAGCAGCTGCTGGGCCTGAAGAAATTTCCTGGGGCTTTGAAAAGGGCAGAGCAAGGTGGTCAGAGTGGACCAGGGCTCCCATCACAGAGAAGGCTCCCCAGGCGTCAGCAGACAGTTGCCCACGGAAGCTGACTCTTGACTTGGCAGGAAATTGGTCCCTGGGATGGGAACGTTTGCTGTGTGACCTCAAGCATGCACCTTGACATCTTTGAGCCTCAACCATTCTCACCTCTGTGGTTCAAGATGGAGTGCATCTCAGGCTAGGCCAGCTGGTCCTGAGTGGTCTCCTTCCTGGTTCCTCCCCCAGGCACACCATTCCCCAAGAACTTCCTGCAGGCGGTGCGTAAGATCCTGTCCCGGCTGTTCCGCGTGTTCGTGCACGTGTACATCCACCACTTCGACCGCATAGCGCAGATGGGCTCTGAGGCGCACGTCAACACCTGCTACAAGCACTTCTACTACTTCGTCACTGAGTTCAACCTCATTGACCCCAAGGAGCTGGAGCCCCTGGTGAGCTCAGGGGTGGTGTCCACAGCAGAGGTCTCCCTGGAAGTCTGCCCCATGTGCCTGCCTCAGAACAAAAAGCCCCCAGTTTCCTAGTTCACCACACCAGGGAGGTTGCCATGTGGTCTTCCCATCCAATGTGGCTCACATGGGATGTAGAACAGACCATGGTGGGGAGGCTCCTGCTTGCAATACCCCAAACATCCCTGGAATTTCCATGCAGCAGTTCCCCATGACAGGCGGCCTGTGCTCCCACCCGATAGTCTGAGGTGTGCTGATTGATTGATTGATTTGGGCTTAGTTTTGGGGGTTTTGTTTGTTTGTTTATGTGTTTCCATGTACAAGCATGGCTGCCATGACATGCATGTAGAGGGCCCGGGACAAGCTGGGTATCCATTTTCTTCCTCCATCGTGTGGTACCGGGGCTCACGCCCAGTCACCAGGCTGGGCAGCAGGCTTCTTCCTCCACAGCTCCTGGTGCTTCCTCATGGAGGCTTGTCCTCCTCCTCCCGCAGCCAGCTTTTTTATTAAGTTGTATTGGTCCGTGGCCCACTTGCCAGGCGTCAGGGGACTTAAGTCACAGCCCATGTCCATATGCCCCCAAATCAGAGGCACAATCCTCTGTCCACCGTAGGGAGCAGTCCCCACCCCGCACACTGCCCAGGTTCTTGCATGGTTTTGTGTGTGAAGCCTTGCTCCTCTCTGCCCCTGGTGTGTGCCTCTGACACCTGCCTGTCTCCACAGAAGGAGATGACCTCACGGATGTGCCACTGAGGCCACCTGGCCGCCAAGACTCAGGGAGAAAGCTTGGGAGCCCCTGTCAGCTTTGTTCAGCCTGGGTCTCAGGAGCAGCGTCACCCCGAATGCCGCTATCAGAGGAACAGAGGGACTCTGGCTCCTCCCTCCATCTCTGACCTGTGCTGGACTTGAAATCTGTAATACTGTATCCTCTCAGCCTCCGGGTTCATACCGTGTCTGTGCCACAGCCTCTGGCAGGAGGCAGGATCTGGAGCCATTGCCAATTACCCCCTTGTCCAGTCTCCATGCCTATCCAGCCTTGCCCCATGGCCTTAGTATGTGTGGCCACAGCTCTGTCCCCTTCTTCCTAGCCTGGAAGGAGAGGTGGCGTGCGGTCTCCTCTGCAGAGCCACTCTGTGTGGTGACCACATGGACGCCCAGCTGCCACACATTTAAAGATGTAATAGTACGCATGTCCTCCACTGCCCAGCTCTGCCCTCTGCTTGTGCTTCTGGACATCACGCATTGCCAGATCTCTCCATTCATTCTGTCAGGCCCTTCTGAATGGCGCCCTCTCCAACCCCTGCCTCCCTGCCCCCCAGCAGGATTTCCAGTATGGAGTGTTCTCAGGTACCTTTGCAGGACTGGGAGGGTACAGATGCTGCATGCAGTGATCTCAGAACTCTGGAGGCAGATGTAGGAGGATTACTGCAAATTCAAGGCCCCTCTGGCCTCCACACTGAGAATCAGGCCATTCAGGGTCAAATAACAAGATTGTCTTTAACAAAAAAACAAAACAAAACCAAAAAAAAAAAAACTTTAAAGGAAGCCAGGTGGTGGTGGCGCATGTGTTTAATTCCAGCACTTGGGAGGCAGAGGCCGGTGGGTCTCTGTGAGTTGAGGCCAACTTGGCCTACAGAGCTAGTTCCAGGACAGCCAGAGATTACACAGAAAAACCCTGTTTCAAAACAAAACAAAAAAAAAGTGTGACCCCAACCCCCACGTGAAAGCCAGGTATGGTAACATTTGTCATCCCGGCCGCGGTCAGATCCTCCTGCTTCTACATCCCACGTGTGCAGATTGTAAAGGATGTCAGACACAACACCCAGTCCATTCAGAAATATCTGTGTTTTGTTTCATTTTTTGAGACAGGGTCTCAGACTATTCCTGGCAGACCTGGGACTCGTTACGTATCCCAGACTGGCCCCAGACTCCCAGATCCACCTACCTCTGCCTCCCCAGTGCTGGGACTCAAGACATGCCCTTCTGGAGATCTTAGAGAAAAAGTTTAGCCCGTTTCTAGTGGCTACCTTCTTGGGTGCAGTGCCCGGTCCAACCCAGAATCCAGGAATGAATTTTCACATTGTTTCCAGCATCTGCTGGGGTCAGCAGTTCCTAGTGGGTCGCAACAGGGGCATTCCTTCAGTGGCAGCCTGTTGTGTGTGTGTGGACCCTAGGGGCCACAGGACCAAACTCCCACGGGACTCCTCTCTGCCATGCCATGGAGGACATAGCAGGGTGTGACTGTCTGCAGCTCCAGTCTTTGACCCTTTGGCCTTCCCCTTGAGACCTGTGCACTGTGAAGACCCCAGGGAATTCTGGTTATTTTCTCAAATCTGGGAAGCTGTCACTGAACCAAATGAGCACAGTTAGCAAGATGTCACTGCCTGAGCCCTTCAAAGCCTGATGTTGCAGCCTCGGAAGGACTCAAGGACCAGCCCTCAAGGCTTGACTGAATGTATCTCCCACCCGCAAGACGGGGCCACTGTGCCAAATCCCAGCAGCCCACACACCAGCCCAGGGAGAGGTCCATACTGCCTCATCCATCCCACCTCAATTCAAGCCTAATAATAAAGTCATCTTGACACTCTGGGCAGCTGGCTGCTGTTTTTGTCCACTCCCACCCTCAAAGAGGGACTGGCCATGAGCTTTGGTAGCCGCCTATTAGACCCTAAAGGGCCCAGGGAGCCCAAGGTCCCAGGAAGCTGCACAAAGAAGGGTCACAATGTGTAGCTCCAATTCTGTGTTTTGAGATGGGAGTTTTCCTATTGTATGGCTGTCCATGTGTGCCACGGCGCTTGTGGAATCAGAGGACAACTCTGGAGACTTTCTCCCCTCCTACCCCATCATGACCCACACACACACAGGGCAGAGTGTGTGTGTGTTCCTTCTAGACAGGGCTCCACCCTGACCATGCCCCTAGCCCCTCACTGGGGAATTCTAGACAGGGGCTCCACCCCTCTGGGGTTCTTTGTATTCCGTGGGGGTGGGGGGTTTTGAGACAGGGTTTTTCGGTAGCTCTGGCTGACCTGGAATGCCCACTGCAGACCCGGCTGACCTTTAACTTAACAGATCGCCTGCTTCAGGCTCCAAAGTACAACTGCCAGGCCTCCCACTCCTCTGTTTTATGTGGAAAGCATGCAGTTTTGACAACCCTCTGAGTCTCATTCCGTATATGTATTATGGTTGTAGATGCCGGTGGTCTGAAACAAGATTCCTAACTTCCAATTCATGAAGTTCTATGCCTTCCATGGCTTGCACTGTGTGCCGTGTTGGAGACATCTGAGTGTGGGTTGCCCTCTAGGCGTTGGCGCGATACCTCTTCTCATCCATAGAGGGCGCTGCGGACTAAGGCAGAGAGAGGCTGTTGGCTCCACGTGAGGCCCCTGAATGTTCCTCAGCTTCTTCCTGCCTCAACTCAGTAAAGCTTTTCCCAAGGCATGCTGCTTCTCCCGAGGCCCCAGGTTTTGATCTTCATTTGGGGCATTTCCTGTCGTGGCGTCCTGTATTGTGTGACCTTTTCTGTCTGGTTTTGTCGCTGAGCACCATGTTTTCGGGGTTCCTCCACACTCCTTTTCTGGAATAGTACACAGGCTGTGGCAGGGCACGCCTGACCTGCTCTCACCGGCTGGGGCTTGGCATGCATTGTCTTCCAGTACAGATGTGTTAGGGGGCCCTTCTGTTGGCCCAATGACTACCCTAGGCACATGGCCTATGTTCCTAGATACTTCTTTGACCACTGCCCCATTCACCCTGGGACCTTCACATGGACACTGACCCCAGCACCTACTTGCCTATCTGAAGACACAGAATCAGGCTTGGTCGCCTCCATGCCCCCTCCACACAGACCACACGATGTCCTTTACCTTGAACGTCTGTGTGTAGTCAGGTCCCAGTGACACTGTGGCGTGACGGGGGCAGCTGGCCTAGATCCCCAGAGGTGTCCTCCTCTGCTAGGCCCTCTGCTTCTCCTGAGACTCAGCCCTGTGACCATGGCTAGCCAGGTACTGTAATCCACCATAAGTTCCCTGTCCCCTCTGAAGGGCTGCAGATGGGTCACTTAGAAGGTGCAATGGAGCCGTGCAGTGTTTCTACCATCTGTCTCCAGAACTTTCTGTCTCCTCTCACTGAAACTCTGTCTCCATCTGACTTGCTCCCTCCCTTCCTCAACTCCCACCATCCCACTTCCCCTCTCCACGGATGGCTCTGCCACCTCCAGGGACCTCTGGGAGTGCTGTGCTTGCGTGCATGCATGCGTGCGTGCATGCGTTCTTCTGCGTCTGGGGCATGCTAATGAGCATTGTGTTCTGGAGGTTCCTACACCTGAGAACATGTCAGGTGACCTTGTCTACTTTTTCATAATTACTTGGGACTTTCACATCATGCACCCAGGTCCTCACTCCTCACGCTCACCTGTGACCTCTCTCCACCATACACACACACACACACATATACACACACATACACACACACCTATTCACACATACATATATACACATGCACACACACACATGCACACACATATACATACACACATTACACACAAACACACACATATAAACACACATACATACATATACACACATACATGCAAACACACACATATAAACACACATACACACAAACATGCACACACATATACACACATACACACACACATACACATATACACACACATACACACAAACATGCGCACACATACGCATACATATACACACACATACACACATACATAAACATACACATAGACACATATATACACACATACATACATACACACACATATATAGACATATATACATATACACACATACACATGCATACATACACACACACACACAATAGGAAAAGGCCACTTTGTGCTGTCCATATGCACATTGGATCATGGTCAGACTCTTAGTGACCAAGGAAAGGTAGGTGTGTTTTTCTCCTCCTGCATCCACCCGCCACCACCCCACTAGAAGCCATCAACTATGGAGAGGCCCACAGGGGCAGGGCCAACTCAGGAGGGCACATGGATATCTACATGGCTTTAGTGAAAGCCTAGACCTCCTACATCTGAATGGCTTCTGTGTTAATACTGCCATGGAAGTCAGCATGGCCCCTTGTTGGATCAGGAGCCACTCATAGGCTTCAGTGGCCACACAGACCACTGCCGCTTCAACATGGCCTTGGCTGGCTAGACATGCCACTCGTATCCAGAAGGTCTCCTTGAGCTGGTGGTGGCATATACCTTTAATCCCAACACTCTGGAGGCAGGCCTGGTCTACAGAATAAGTTCCAGGACAGCCCGGGTTTTACAGAGAAACCCTGTCTTAAAAAAACCAAAAGTAAAAAAACAAATGACAAACAGAAACAGAAGGCTCCTGAGGCCACAAAGCCCGAGGACATCACCAGGGCAGCAGTCCACACTGAGCTCAGGTGGGGCAGCCTTCCCACCAGCACTGCACTGTGCTTCTCTAACTCCCTAGCTCTCCACCACATATCGGTTCATCGTAGTGGGGGGGGGGGCTCTACTTTAACTTTCTAGAAAATACTTATTATGCTGGGAGGTGGTGGCACATGCTTTTAATCCCAGAACTCAAGAGGCAGAGGCAGGTGGACTTCTGTGAGTTTGAAGCCAGCCTGGTCTATGAAGGAGCCACGCATGAGAGGCTTAATAAAAACAGACGATCCAAAGGAAGTTCTTCCAACCATTGTTACAACGCAGGTGGGGGGGGGGCTTTGTTCTGCCTGGCCGCCCCACTAGCTTACACCCAAAATAACCACACAGAAACTGTTCATTTAAACACTGCCTGGCCCATTAGCTCTAACTTCTTATCGGCTAATTCTTACATCTTAATTTAACCCTTTTCTATTAATCTGTGTATAGCCACGTGACTGCAGCTTACCGGCAAGATTCTAACCAGCATTCGTCTCAGGGAGGAGATTCATGGTATCTGCCACTCTGCCCCTCTTACCAGCATTCAGTTCTGTCTACTCCACCTACCTAAGTTCTGTCCTATCAACTAGGCCAAGGCAGTTTCCTTATTCATTATCCAATGAAAGCAACACACAAACAGAAGGACCTCCTACAACAAACCATTATTAGCTGCCAGTGTAGGACACAGCCATGATAACTTAATGGAGGCCTGAGTCTCAGAATGTTACCCTGAAGTTACCCTGGTTGCAGGAAGGACCATTACCTGAGCACCATCCAAGAACAGACCATCCAAAGAAAATGCCTAATGTTCCAACCGCTGTAGATAGGATCACCTGCCA